TAATTATCCCTGGGGGGGTACTCCCATACATTACCTATACGGGTATGTGCCGCCCAACGGGGTCGTGATTTTGAAGCTCCTGATTTAGAACGGGGTATCCATTTCACAGGCGTTTTCTAGAACGGGGTATAATATTTCGAACGCACGAAAGCACCAGTTTTGTAAGCAGCCATTTGAAATTATTGAAGGACAGATTGCTTTTAAAAATACGGTTCAGTGCGTTAACAAGCAGACTGTTGTACTCTTGTTGCACCCTAGAACGGAGCATAAAAAAATTGGCCCATTCCTAGAACGGGGTATCAGTTTTAGGGCAAATTCTAGAACGGGGTATAAAAAATTGGCCCATTTCTAGAAAGGGGTATCAATTTTAGGAGAAATTTTTTTTAGAACGGGGTGTCAATTCGGTCAGTCAATTCGGTCAGTCCCGGGCAGCACATACCCACCCAAAAAATACCCAAGTGTCCCCCCCAGGGCAGCTCGATCTCCAATTATACTTTGAAGACTCTGATCTCATAAACCTTCGCATAAACACGATTCAAATAAATATCAGTCCAAAGCATTTGTAATCTGCGACCACAAAGCAGATGAGACCAGATCTGTGACGCACGAAAACAAAGCATACCTGGTTTGATTGATGTTTCGAATGTAGCCTGCTATAGCCTAATCTACTGTGATCGAACACGATTGCTATTTTTGGGTGTACAAATAAGACTACTAACTCAATGTAAAGTTTGTTTCACTTCTGGACTGTCAAATTATTTTTCTCTAAAATCACTTAGCCTTTGCCTCAAAAGTCACATAAATGTGCCCTGATCTGTGGATTGCAAGTTTATTGTTTGATTTAAATTATGAATTTATTAACAGGAGCTTCGCTTTTAGTCCTGGCTAAATCTATATATTATATTTCCTTTAAATCCTGATTATGTTGCTGCTCGCTCTCTTCGGTCGCTCCGCAGCAATAAATATATATAATATTTTCTTGTCTTGTGAAAAACCATTCTATTAAATATTTTGACACAAACAATAGTAAAGTCTGCACATCTGTTTCATTTATCAAAGCTGTTTTTCAAAATACAATTGTCAAATTATGTTGACGTTCTCTCAGTGACTATTTAACAGCTATTAGAACACGAATACGTCCACTTGCATTATTTTCATCGGCAATGGGGTTTTGCAATTTGCAATAAGCAAAGACAGAAGTTCGTTAATGAGTGCTTACGACTCTCCGCGAGTGCAATTTCTACAAATTTTATTTATTTCTTTGACCTTTGCATATTTCCAGCATGTGTGACGATTTAATATACTGGAAATTTATATACAGCAGAAATAATTAGCATTAAGATTATCATTATCAATGCAATCCTTCGATCGAAATTAGATTTTAGCGCGTATCGCATTGCGCCCAAAGTAGAAAAAAACAGACTTCTCCAGGTCGAAGCTGTGCTCGCAGAAATTACTCCAAACAGGACTTCTTAAAACCTTACCACTAAAAATGTATCGCGGTGCTCAAATTCCCTATTCTTCCAATTCGATCGGAGACGTCGAGTTGTTTCTGGTCTCTTGAAATATTATCAGAAATCCACGGGTGTTTACAGAAAGCGTTCTGGATCATTAACATATTCGTAAATCGAACGCTATGACGTATAAAACAATCTCGATTAATCGGCTCCGTATTGCTGTTACTTTTCTTCAAGGTACATTACACCCAAAGTACTCGACAGCTATTTGCTTCGAAGTTTCCCTGTTCGACATTTCTGTCGAGCTTAGTCCTTTCGTGGTCAAGTCAATGTTTTGGTTGAGCTCTGAGCCAATCAAATTGCAGGAAATTACATATCCAGATCTGATTGTGGCCCGGACAGTTTTTTGAAAAGTACTCTTAACCTGAACTCAAATTCCAAAAATGAAGCATTTTCGTTAAATAGAAGCCGAGAAAACGAAGGCCAAATTTATTTTCAGCGAACTTATCAACAATTCTATGCTTTGAGTATACATTTAGACTGCTTGCAGTCCGCCTTTTCTCTTAAAATCCGTCTAGTTATTGATCTCATCCAGTACGATTGAAAACCACGATTCGATGTTATTATATAGGGATCGAGACGCCCTCGTTTCTCGCGGCAAGCGGCTTCGCCGCCCGCCTGCTTAGGTTTTGCGTGTAGTAAGGGGAGAACCACCACATGAAGCTGATATTGACAACTCCTTTGCAGTCGTTCAAGCCCACGTACGGTCCCAGTCCATAGTTCTCTTGTAAAGGCTGAACTTAACGAAGTGATAGCTGATGACGTCATCCCCCAACCGACTGACTGCGTCAATTCTATCGTGAGCAAGATCAAAGAAACCCCTGATGGAGAGTAGAAAGTAAGGCTGTGTCTCGATCCAAGGGATCTAAACAATAACTTACATCGAGAATACTACCAGGACATCAGTACCAGGATCATCAATGAAGCTACCTCTGCTCCATGGGAAGAACAATTTCTCCGTTGTAGATACAAAGAAAGGGTACTGGCACGTGGAATTAGATTACTCATCCAGCCTACTGTGCCCCTTTAATACCCCTTCCGGGAGGTACCGATTCATGAGATTACCCTTCGGAGTCGTCGTTTCCCCGGATGTCGTCCAACGCAAACTCAAGGTATCAGTTAAGAAAGACATTTTGCTAGTTTATGCACTTAAATTTTTTCAGAATTCTGGCGAGTCGGTGTGGTAGTGTAAAGATACGAACGAGAGATTAGGTTACGAAAGGTGCGGGTTTGACACTGGGTTGCGATCTTCTTTCTTTCTAATAGAAACCACACTCAATAACAGGTCAAAAATTTTCTTCTAAGTGTCTTAAAAATGGCAGCGACGTTTACGAAAGGGAAATTTGGTGCGGTAAAATCCTTACAACAGACACTTACCATCAACCCTTTACTCAGCGATCTGTTCCTTTTCAAGGCGTTCAGGGTAGCAGAGATAAAACCTCTGGCCCAGGTTGTTCAAACGTTGGATAGCGCTATACACCGGATAAATCACTATCCAGCGTAAAAGTATCCGCTGGATAGTGATTTCAGTCCGGTGAATAGCGCGATCCCACGTTTGAACAACCGGGGCCTGGAGACCTAAAATCTGGGGACTTCATCCTCTGTATTAAAGACCCCCTCGCCAAATCCCCGACGCACCCCTCCGCTCCCACCCCTGCGATAAGCAAAAATCGACCCAGTCCCCAAATTATAACGTAGAAAGAACCAAGTTATGGGCATCTCACATTATATGAAGTCGTACATGAAGTACAGATTATCAAGTTTGAAATAATTTTCGTCAGTGATAAAGTACTTGAGAATTCGTAATATGAATAAAAAAAATCGAATTCTGGGAAAAAAGATAGGGTCTCCCTCTCGTCTGTTTTGTTTCTTTGCTTGTATGTTTCGCTCCCCTCCCGGGAAAGGGGGAGTTTAGACTTGCCCACAAGTCCCAGTGGTCTACACGACTGCAGAATGAATTTACAAGTCCTAATGAATTTTGTTTACCATTTGCCTCAAACCGTGAACTGCCCTGTTTACCCATGTAAATAGTAAACAACCATTGTCGTTCCCAAAGCCCATCGTTTTTTTAATCACTTAATCAAAAAAGTCGTTGAACTTCTGACCCCTGATACGCCTGCTTTGTACAACAAGAAGAGCGATTGTAAGGGTTTTAAATTAACTGTTCTTCATCGATCTTTCACTGATACAGGCTAACAAAGGCAAATTACAGTAGAGAAGGAATTAACATGGCCAATTCGATGTTTCATATTATTTCTTTCCTGATGCTTATTTTTAATTAACAACAGCTCACGTACAGAGGCTATCAACCTTTTCAGTATAAAGTGTTTGCTCTTACAACTCACTTAAAGTTTAGAAAATATTAAATAAAATTGTCACTTGTAAGTTATTCAACATTTGGCCGTGCCCCCAATGGCAGAGAAGGAAAATAATTTTTTGTTTGGTTTTTAAATTATAAAAGCTTAAATTTTTGCGTCTTCAGCGAGCAGCGAGCAGCGAGCTCATTGGCCTAAGGGAGGTTAAATGACATTGTGTTCAAATGCGCCTAACAAAAATTATTTAACAAGAAAAACCTCGACTGTTCACTGTCACATCTCAACCAAATCTACATTGAAGCTTGATGATGACTATCACATCTACTTAACATCTACTTAAGAGGTAGGAGACGGTTTCCTTCCCCCACTACTGCTACTGACGGTAAGCGCTCGATCTCGACGATCTTACTTAAAGATAGGGGACTGTGAACAGTCTAATAAAAACCTAGATGAATGCTGAACGCAAGTTTTGTACTTACTATTTAAGAGTGAAAAATAAATAAAAGCTATTAAATTACAAAAAAGAATATGTAACTATACCGAAAATTATTGTTGTGGAAGACTAGATTTTGTGAAACACTAAACTTTGATATTATTAACTGAGTTGAAAAAGTTAACTTTCCACAATAAAAGGTTAACTCGAATTGACGAAGGAATATTGTTCAACACGTCATCTTTTCAACCTTTGACGGTGGTAAAATCAAGTCAGTGTCGTTGATAAAACACAATTTTATGTTTGGAAATTGGGCGATCCCGCACCTATTTGAGAGATTGTTTTTGATTAGCTGGGAAAACAATAGGGATTGTCACAAAACAATGCCCCTATCCCTGAAAACAATGGAAGTGCAGATTAAACGGGACCAGTGAAATAAGAGGTTTAGAACGGTGCAGGTCTACTGTGAAATCAGGCTACAGAAACTGTTGCTCGGTGATTGTAACCTGTGTCGATCTGTGATAACGATCGAAGACTAGTTAAATATACTTTGCTGTGAAATCACTATGACGTGTTCAAAACTATGAATGAACACTGGATTTGTCAAATACTACACTCCGTGATATTTCACGAGGATCTTTTCCCCATCACTGCTCAACACTTCCATGACCAGTTGCAGACTTTCTCGGCGTCTTAGCACTTTTCTAACCGAACCAGGCCCGGTTGCTGTGTATATTAACTCCACATTTCCTGTTTGCTGTGATAATGATGATAGAGGCCTGGGTACTTAATCCGTTCAACTTCCAACTGAGCATTCACGACGCGGTCCAGTAGGTCCCAGTCTTCTCCACCCCATTTGTACTTGAATTCCTCGGCATTCATTCCTTTCAAAATTAAGCAGTTAAAAGTTACGATTGTACACAATGACAAGACAAACGGCTACAACGGCTACAACTCTCTTATCTTGCACCCCCCCCCTTCCCAAATACAAACCGCTATTAGACCTTCAGGACATGCATCACATAACAGCGTTCTCACGATGCGCCGATGCAAGCACATAGAAAGTGCGACTCCAACCGTAACAATAAATCACACTGTTCTATTTGATCCAAACTTTTGCATGCTTTATTGTATTAAAATTACCCGTATGTTATACCGATAAGTAAATTAGGAAAAATACTGACTTAATGTACATAAAAAAACGTGCGAGACGAATGTTCATATTAAACAAATCTATTGTATTGAAAACGATTACAACGTCAAGGGACGACTTCTATGCACAAAACTGAAAGGTCACCGCTTAAATCTTTCAGTGCGTTAACCTCTGGAATATGTTTTACGAATAGCCTTTGTCCTTACTGATCATTTCACCTGACTAACTGTGGGCCGTACGAAGTTACGATAATAACATCGCGACAATTGTGAAAACATCCACGCTTTTTATTTGGAGAAACTTATTTTTATGTTATTGGTTTTTAAGTAAATATTCAAAAGAATTGTTTGATTACGGGGTGGATATTCGTAGACGAAAGGAAGACTTTTTGAACATAAAAAGATATGTACTGTGCGGTTTGAGTTACATAAGGGAATGTCAAAGATCATACACCCGTCAGTTTCGTAAAGCTTGTTGTAACAGCACTATGATTTTCGTTATTTCTAGCAAGAAGGGAAATCACTTTTGAAGTCGCTTCTTTCTGAGGGTCGCTACTTTTGGCATTTGCTAACACCTATGAAATTTTATCCACTACTTTCGGGGCGTCGACACTTTAGGAACTTAACGGTAGTCGATTTGCCAGTAAAGTTAAAAGGAAATTCAAAAGGCATTTCCGCTAAGTTGTTGAGTCCGTTGTGGGCTCAGAACAAAGACCTCGGCGAAAAAATGTTACTTACCGAGGTTTGATCACGTCTGCAACGCTGGGTATCTACATAAAGTCATGTAAAAAATACACTTTATCGTCTAGTGGCTCAAAATGAAAATTTGACTCTCTGCAGTTCTCTTATTTTTGGATGGGAGCCAAAAAAATATTAAAATGTATGTCACGTGGTTCAGCAGGGACGGTATTAAAATAACGATTTTCTTTGAACTTACCGCCAAAACGTATCCAGTCCGATTTATATACAGCAAGAAGACCATAACCGTTCATCTCCCAAAAGCCTTGATGATCAATATATGTACTTTGACAGTCTAGACGTCCCACTGCGGGAAAGAAAGCGATTCTTCCTTCTATGGTGTTCTGTTGAAAATAAGGAAACTAAACTTGATCATGTTACTTAAACGTAACAAGAATGACAGTGTGGTAGGAAGGAATTTGGTATAACCCATTTTCCAACAGAAATGACCACAACATTTTCAGTACTCTAAAATGCAACAGACACTCGGCATCTAGATTTTTGGCTACGTGTAGCCAAAAACGCTATAGATTATAGGAAAGGTCGATCGATTAGTATTAGTATTTTGAGACAAAATAACAAGTTATCCGCAAAAGAAGTCAGTGTATCTTGCTATGGAGCGTTTTCACTCACGAGGCCAACATCTTTGGTAATTTATTGGAGCAAAACAAAAAGCGTTTACATGAGAAAAGAGTTCAACGTCCACAGGATTGTCTTGGTGCACCAACATGCAATGACAGCGGTTTCATTGTTTCGCAACACCAATATGGCCGCCGTGACTGACCAAGTGAAAACGATCTATAACAACACGTGTCAACTCACCTTTCGCACGCTGTCCAGAATGTCAACGGGCACATCGATATGCAGATCAAACAAAAACAACAGACCATGCGCATTATGTACTTGCTCTACAGCTTTGTTCAACGCCAGCGTCTTGTAAAATTTACCGGTCAAGTTGATAATAGTGTGCCTGCTCCTCAGAAGGGCAGTGTCGAACGCTTTGGCCAAGTCGATATCTTGACTCTCGAAATCAGCAACAATAACGTGGAAGTTCTTATCACCCGTTAATAAGCTGGCAACCGTGAGATCATTGATGAAATGATAGACCCATCTTCCCTGATCTTTGACAGGGAGAATTATGTATACCGTGGCTTTTCTGTTCCACTCGATTCCCTTGGGAAGACACAAACTGTTCGTTCCCTTTTTTTGATACACGTGCTCAGAGAAGCGATATGATTTCTCAGTGTGAGACAGGCCAAGTTCCAGATCAACTGAATATCGGTCCCCATAAACAGGATCCGATTTTTGTAGAACTTTGTGAATTCTCTTCAAAAAGTAAGTTCTGAAAGAAAATAGTAAGGTTTAAAAGAAAAAGAACAACTTATGAGCGCACAGAACCATTAATGTAACCTGTGTGAAGTTGTCCCCTCTCCTCAGAAAAAAATCGGCCGAGAAGGGGAGGGGAAAGAGCGGATGTACAGAGGCTAAAATCAATGGAACCAAGATGTATGGTAACGAGAAGCTGATGTCGCCTCTAGTTTTTTGTTTTTACTGTGAGGTGCTCTTCTTGAAATGTTTCTTTCAAGTTAAAAACAAGGGTCAAGTTTTTTTTTAATTCACCAAAGAGTAATCCTGGTGTAAGCTTTGCCACAGAGAAATAATGAGACTCTATGGGTATTTCAGACGAAATCAAAGTCGCCACGATCACTATTGAAAGATGTAAGGACGATCTTAAAGATTAATGTGAGGAACCTATTGCCATTCTCAGCGATAAAAGTTGATAAGTTTAGTCATGACAGCGTGACAGCAACGAAATCTGCGAAAAAGTGTTATACACGTTCAAGACATAGGTATTGCGACGATCGCCATCCCGCTCAAGTATGACAACGTTGGTCGTGAGATGACGGCAAAGAAATCCGCCAAAAAGCGTGCTGCGCGTTCAAAGGTTTCTTTTTTTTCAGTTATTAAACTTGGGGGTGGGGGTGAGGGTTAGGGTAAGGGTAAGGGTAAGGGCATTGCTATTATAAGAAAAACAAGGAAATATAACTAATCGAATAGCAAAATTTCAATTGCGAGAAGTTCGAGTTGTGGGAATTCCACAATTTTCATCCAAAATTACTCCAACAAAAATTGTCTCCTTTATACTTGAACAATCATGATGTTGAATGAATATTTCTTTGAATTTTACAATTCGTGCGTCTTGGACTTGGCGAGGTTTAAAGACCATACATTTGCCTTTTTTAAGGAAAAGTGTTAGATGTACAGTTTGCTCGTCTCGAAATGCAACATATCTAAAAGATTGTCGGGATATCTTTGGGGTATGAATTGATATTGCGAACAATATCAAATTGCGAGTGCTTTTCACGATATCTCCCTAATGGAGAGCTTGCTCGCAGGCTATATAATACTTGGTGTTCAAGAAAGAGAAAAGCGACCACACAAGAAATATCAACCCGGAACGAGGGATTGTGGGCGTTCTAAGATCGCATGAAAAGGTGGTTTGCTTTTTTACCCTTTGGCGAATCACCTCGCCAACCCAGGGTTCCACATCCCATATAAACAGTCCCTTGGTGTACAGAGAACGATCGAAGACTATTAATCCATGCCTTTATTCAAGCCTTTCAAGAGCAAAAAATTAATTTGCGATCACGTTGTTGGAAATACTTAACTGCAACAGAAACGCGAAAGCTAGCCAACCCTTGAAATTAGACCAGCCCTGGACCAACCTTTCATTTTAAAGGGCACCGTTTTCCAATAACATGCCAGATGATGCTTAATGACAGGGAATTAATGACAATATGCCTTCTTAACAGTCTAATAAGAAAACAAAACAGTTAATGCGAACTATAACCAGCCTTTCTCAAGTTAGAAAGGGTGTTTTCCATTTTTTCACGTGGGAAATCCAGTTTCAACCGGCTGTGCTCCAATATGATAATCATGACTTACAACAATCAGTAAAGTGTTCACTTATATCCTTAACCCGTAATCTTACCAATCAGTGTTAACTTAAAGGTTACGCCGACCTACATTTGATATATATGTACAGACGAAACAACGTTTAATTTTGAAAGCAAGGATACCGAATAATCAAGGATATAAAAATATTGTAAAGTAAGAGACATTGTCACCTTAATTTAGGCCACTCCCATGAACAACAACTGATCGGTCAAAAATTACCAAACCTCACAAACTGGAACAACCTTATAAAAATTGATAAAATGTCACCGGGTCGTGAAAATTTAACGTGATTACCATACGATAGGTTTACTCTCTAATTGGTTTCCATGAGTAGAGTAATATGAGGAGAGGGGGATCACCAGGGGAGGGAGATCAGTAGACAAATTTGCGGTCATTGATTTCCGGTCTTCCTCTACTCTTGGACCGATTTTTCTTTTTTTTTTTACAGCCTTTGTCCGAAAAAGAAGGCGATTTCTGTGAGAAAATTTTTTTTTTGTGCTTAACAAAACCAGTAAGAGTAAGGGATGAATGATATGTGAATGATCATCGCTGCAGTTATGTTTCCATACGCTTTCACCCTGTCCTTAAACCCATAGCCTGCGTAGCGTGGCGGTTTTGGTTGGGCGGGCTAAGTAATGAAGATGGGCGAGGGCATAAAAACCGCGCGGAGATTGGGGCGGGAGCAATTTTTATTTTTCTCGCGGCTTCGCGCGTGAATTTCGCTGCCCGCGGCTTCGCCGCTCGTGCGCCCCGCTCGACAAAACCGCTGTGCTACGCAGGCTATTAAACTCCCCCTAACCCCCCGCCTCACCCCCACCCTTACCCTCACCCTTGGTGTTACCCTTACCCTCGCTTTAGTAACGCCGTGTTTTAGCTTTGTTTTTAAACTAGGAATTATTTTTGAATGAACAATAAAACAATTATTGAATTCGGCTTTCGTATCGTATGAAGAATTATGGAGATCTCGGAGGGTGTTATCCGTCGAGGCCGTAACACCCTCCTCGATCTCCATAACTCTTCATAAGATACTCAGCCTCATTCATTAATTGTTAAATAAAAGAAATGAAATTTGTAATCATCTTACTCTGAGGACTTGAGGCGAAGGGCAGTGACCACGTCATCCACGACTGACTGAATTATTTCTTTGTCGGCGGCACGATTTGCACGGGTCCAAACCATTCCAGTGTCATTTGACATCTGCGTATCGTCTGGTGGAAAAACGTTGGATTCGAAGACCATTTTCATGCCTTCATAGCGGTCAACTTTATCAGCTGTTACGAAACTACTCTTGTAATCGCATGAAGGAAGAAAATTATCTTTCAAAACGAATGGTAGAGAATAAAACTTCAAGAAATCACTGCTGAGTAGATTGGATTTTCGCCGGTATTCTTGCCTATATCTCCGCGAAAGCAAATAGTGTAGTTTTACTTTTTTCGCCGGCCCAGTAGGCAATGTACTTGGTAAAAATGGCGAGAGGTATTCTGAAGTGATGAGTCTAAAGTCTTCATCTTTGTCAGATGTAGTCCAAAATACACGCGCGAATCCTTTACCTGAGCCTTGTTTGTGTAAAACCTCGACGTAGTATTTCTTATTAGCTTGAAGATAGAGTGGGTTTTTGGTTTTCTGTTCAGGATATTTATCTAACTCATCCTTACCCGTCCAAGCTATTGCTTTTTCAATGAATACACGAGCAACCAGCCGTTTATTACCGGGATTTTCGTCGGCACTTATCCATAACTCCGAAGTGTCGTCAGAGGTGATCGCAAAATAAAACAAACCATTGCTTTGGGGATGTAAATATCCAAAGATTTTCTGACCGTAGTTCACCCTATCGTCTTCAATCTCAAAATCGTTGATGACTTTCCTCTCATCAGGATATTTTGGGAAGAATGGTGATTTCCTCAAATACGTCACGTTTGAACCACATTGCATTCGCCAAATGTGAACATCAAGACCGTTTGTTACACCGCCAGGCTTAGCAAGTGCTGTACCGGTATCATGATCACGGTCGAGAGTATTTTTGCTTTGTTTTCCGACAAATGTTAAGAGCAGAGAAAACGAGATGAAGCATGCAACACATAGAGCGAATATCAATCGCTTTCCAGTTCTTTGAAATCTTCGGGATTTAAGAAGGCGTTGAATCATGATGAATGTAGAAGGGTGTTACAATCGACAGCAGCTGCGTGCGTGATGCTGTCAGGAAAGAGCAAGTCAATATAAGTTAATTTTTAACTAAAAGTAAATACGTAATTATTTTCTTGTCAAATTCCGCCGTTCCGTAGACGCGATTTACCGAGCGAGGTGTCTCCGATTTTACCTCTCCGAAAAGAGAGAAATATTTCATAACGAATAAGCTGTCTTCAGCGTCAGCTCAGTTTTTCATTGTCATTTTCAAGCTATTGTGACAATAGAACAGTTAAGACTAGCCTGCGAACCGCAGACGCATTTCCTGTCGTCGACCGGAAATGCGGTTCGCAGGCTTAGTTAAGACAGAATCCAGCAGGAAATTGAGTATCTGAGTACTTTTAATTTTCAGTGGACAAAAACGTTGAACCAGAATAACAATATCGCATTCTTTTTTACATTTTTCAAAAGCTATATTATAATTAGTCATCTGTAATAACACCAAAGACTATTTTTCATGGGAGCCGGAGAAAATGAATGTCAAATTTCACAAGAATTGTGAACACACAGGTAAAATTCTTAAAAATTTCATGTGTAAGGCGCAAGAGTCATAATGGCTTTTGGGAAGGTGTGAAATTTGACATTTATTTCCTCGGGCTCTCATGAGAAATTTTCACTGGTGTTATTACAGCCCGAAGGGGTACTCCCATACATTACCTATACGGGTATGTGCCCCCTAAAGGGGTCGTGATTTTGAAGCTCCTGGTTTAGAACGGGAGAACGGGTCAGACGCGGTTTCTAGAACGGGGTATAATATTTCGAACGCACGAAAGCTCTCCACTTTTGTAAGCAGCCATTTGAAAGCATTCAAGGACAGATTGCAGGGGCGGATCTAGGGGGAGGGTGCAGGGGGTGCACACCCTCCCCTGAGATGACCTGCGGTTTTCTAATACAATTGGTATTCTGCAAAAAAAAACTATGTGGTGTATTGGTGTTGAAGTAGAGCAAGAAACGAGTGCACCCCCTCCTAAAAAAAATCCTGGATCCGCCCCTGGATTGCTTTTAAAAATACGGTTCAGTGCGTTAACAAGCAAACCGTTGTACTCCTGTTGCATACTAGGACGGGGTATAAAAAATTGGCCCATTTATAGAACGGGGTGTTAGTTTTAGGGCGAATTCTAGAACGGGGTATAAGAAATTGGCCTATTTCTAGAACGCGGTATCAGTTTTAGGGGAAATTTTTTCTAGAACGGGGTGCCAATTTGGAGTCCCGGGCGGCACATACCCACCCAAAAAATACCCAAGTGCCCCCCCCCGGGTATTACAGATAACTAATTACATCTATAGCCCTTGAAAAATGTAAAAAAGAATGCGATATTATTTAAATTATTCTGGTACAAGGGTTTTGTCCACTGAAAATTAAAATTACTCAATTTCCTAATGGATTCTGTCTTAAATGTTTGGTGTATTACAGGAGCTCCTGGTGTATTTCCATTATAAAAGAATTATCGTCGAACCCCGCCTACCTGTTGCTTACCGCTTGCACCTCGTTATTACGGACAGTTTTATTTGTCCCTGCCGGGAAAGCCCTTACTTTTTTTTTCTAAATTCAACTCCCTTTACACGGACACTTGTTTCTTGCCCAATTAACATTTTCTCATAGAAAGCCAACCTCGCTAATACGACACTTCATTTTCAACTATGTGCTGTAATAGACCATGAGAAAAAAACCTTTAGTTGACTGCACATGTCGGTCTTCCCAGCACTATAGTACACCAGATAGGATGCTTCGTGCACGTCAACTTCTACAACTTTCGGCATCAAACAAGTTAACTATGCAGAGGACGGTTTCGATTTTAAAAATTGATATATCGTGATCATGATATGATATATGATGAGCCATTTTTTTTAAGTGTTTCAGTGATTTTAGTCCATGGAACATCTCTCCTTACAGTACCCAACGGCCGGTTTCCTCCTTTTTTTAAATACATTGAAAACACATTTTAAGCCACCCAGGGTACTTTTAGATCTCTAGAAATGTATTCTAAGTCGAGCTATACAATTTGTATCTGTTCGGTCAAGCTAGGGCAACGTGAGTCTTTTCGAATTTGCAAGGGCTTCAGTTTTATTTTACCGAAAATTTTAGATGTAATTTAACCTATTACGAAAGTGACTAAGGAACAGTCACCCAAATTTTTTTAGCCGTCCTAAAGTAATAGAAAATTCTAGGCCATATTTGCTTCTTCGATTAACAGATATTTTACAGAAAACAGTCGTCAGGTGCCCCTGTATGGCAATCTCGTCCCCAGGGCTTTTCCCTCAAAAAATGGGTGGGGCGGCCTTTTCCCGCCCCACCTATTTTTTGAGGGAAAAGCCCTAGGGGCGAGGTTGCCTGTATGGTACCTCGCGAGCAGAGCTACAATACTCGTCACATTTGTTGAAACACTTGTCAGGTTACACCTGTTTCAATGTAGACTGCGATCAGTCTCTCTTTTTCTTCAGATTAGTGAGAGCAATGCACGCACGCGGGAGCGGCAAAGCCGTGAGACGCGCGAAATGAGGGCGGCAGCCCGCGTCTCGTGCCATCGGTCACGCGCGTGGCCATTTGCGTGTCTCGCGTTTTGTTCGACAGACTACAGAAAAATGAGTAGCCTGCGTGGCAGGCGTTTGAAAGGGAAGGGAAAGGGAGTTTTAGGTGCGAGAGAAACGCGAGGGGCGCGCGAGGAGGGAGACTGCTCGTAGTCTAGCTTCAATGTTGATTCACGTGTCACCATCATCCATTTACAAATCTAACGCTAATCTCAACATTGAGGAGGGAGAGAAGAAGTGCAAACGTGAAAAAGTCACAAGTAAGTTAGTTGAGAAGATGTGACAAGAAAAAACCTCACGTTCAGTCCAGTGTTTCGACGAAATTTGACGAGAGTTGTGGGTCTTTTTGGCTTGGCTTTTAGTATTTGCAATGTCGTTCGTGTGGTTTGTCAACCCACAAAGAAACCTCTGCTAGCGAGGAGAAGCACGGTGGCAATAAAATAATTTGAAATATTTATATAATTTTCCGTCTACTGTCTATCTCCGCCAATTTTTATTTTTGTATTATTTTAAATATTGAAAATTTTTTTTTTTATTTTAAATATTTTAAATGTTGAACCCATTTATTCTTTTCTCAATTTGCTTTTCTAGCCCCTTATGTTTTGCTTCACCGAAAACTTGGTCAAATAAATGACCCATCCATAGCTGTCCGATCAGCTTTGCCTTCAAGTTTAAGTGTTATCCTATATTGCTGATCCTGATCCATAGCAAGATTGGAGTCTGAATTCCACGCCGTGGATTCCGGACTCTGGATTCCAGGTACCGGATTCCACGAATCTTTGTCAGTTGACCTTAGATCCTGGATTCCAATCACCAGTGGGATTCCGTATTCCTTGAGCTGTTTCCCAGATTCAAAAGCCCAGGATTCCCGATTCCACCAGCAAAAATTTCTCGGATTCCGGAATTCAGACCATCCCTTACATGGGGCGGCTTGAGGGCAGAAGACCTCTTAATTGACTCACGTTCCTTCGTCGTTGTTTCTCCAAGTCAGGTCACAAGTCAGTCCTTACAACTGTTCGCTAATAAACTCAGCAGCTACTTTAGTCATTAGAAAGATTATTCCAAATTTTTCTCGGTCGTGCGTAAAGAGGACAATTTTCATGAAAGGATATGCAGAACAGAACTAGACACGATCTTGTGGCCCGGTCATGCATACGAGAATGAGGAGCTTGAAAAATGTGTAAACCAAATGTTAAGGGACTAAATTATTAAGACGGAATCCACCATGAAATTGCATAATTTTAACTTTCAGTGGACAAAAATCTTGTACCAGAATAATTTAAAACATATTGCATTCTTTTTTACATTTTTCAAGACCTGAAGATGTAATAAATCATCTGTAATAACACCAAAGAAAATTTCTTATGAGATCCCGAGAAAATAAATGTCAAATTTCACAAAATGACATCTTTCACATGAAATTTACAGAGAGTTACCTGTTAGCCTGCGTAGCTGGCGGTATTGTGTGGGTGCGAGATTAAAGTTTTGGCGGCGGAGCCGTGTTTCAAAACAAGGGAGTAGGGACGAGGCGGTTGAAATACTTTTTCTCGCGGCTCCGCCGTCAAATCTCAATCGACTATATTACAACGGCTCCGCCGCCAAATCTCACTCGACTACTACACAAAACCGCCAGGTACGCAGGCTAGTTACCTATGTCTTCACAGTTCTTGTGAAATTGGACATTCATTTTCTCGGACTCCCATGACAAATTATCTTTGGTGTTACTACAGATGACTAATTACATCTTAAGGCCTTAAAAAATGTGAAAAAAATGCAATATTCTTTAAATTATCCTGGTACAAGGTTTTTGTCCACTGAGAATTAAAATTACTCAATTTCCTAGTGGATTCCGTCGTTACACAGGATATCATTATAGTATCGTCGAAAGAAAGTTAACAGTGAGTCAATTAAGAGGTCTTCTGCCCTCGAGTCGCCCCATGTAAGGGACGGTCTGAATTCCGGAATCCGCGAAATTTTTGCTTGTGGAATCGGTAATCCTGGGCTTTTGAATCTGGAAAACAGCTCAAGGAATACGGAATCCCACTGACGATTGGAATCCAGAATCTAAGGTCAACTGACAAAGATTCGTGGAATCCGGTACCTGGAATCCAGAGTCCGGAATCCACGGCGTGGAATTCAGACTCCAATACCGTCCAGGATTCAAATTTTCCAAGTCCTTATCAGACAAGTCCCGTACTAGCTTAAGTTTATTGTTTGTATAACTTTGTCAAGTGTTAGCCCAGACAGGTGAAAAGCGTTCGTTAGCAACAAAATAGTCTGTCTGTCCAAAAGGCCGGTGAACTCTTGCTAATCTGCCTTCATTTCTTCTCTCTATCTTGTCTGGATACATGATCGTACGTAGCCTGCGTAGCAAGCGTTTCCGTTTGGTTTCGGAGCAAAGAAAGACCGAGGAACGGGATCCTCGGTTTTGG